TGGGCTTCAGCTCTGCCTCTTGCTCCTGGCCCACTGAAGCTAGAGGCATCTCTTCACTCAGGCAGCTACTGGCTGCTGAGGCTAACAAGCTCAAGGTCAACAAAATGGCCCAGTCCCAATGTTACCAAACCACACGGCAGGTCATTAATTCAAGTCCATTTTAAGTCTCAAGGTCGGCAGAGCATGGCAGGCTGCTGAACAACAACATGGTCCAAGTGTGCCATAAACTAGAGACCATTCCCCAAGCCTTCTCCTTATATACAGGAAGCAGACCACACCCCTAAGGCAGCTACTCAGCTGCTCATAGTACATTTCACCATGGAGTTGATTACCAGTCTCATCAAGGGGAATGCTACAACCAGCTGCCCAGGCATTCAACCAGGCCCAGCCAAGTTGACACACACTGAACTACCCCAGTAGGCTGTTGCCCAGTCTTCCTTCCATGGAGTGGTTAGTGGATTTGAACCACCAACTTTCTGGTTAGCAGTCAAATGCATTAGGCACTACGCCACCAGAGCTCCTCTTAACTACCATAACAACTGATTAAACAATGCCTAGTGAACATCAGGGAAGCTCTGGTCATAACATAACAACAACAACAACAGTGTTATGTGCTCTGCTTGGCACATAACAACAACAACAAACAGTGGACAGCAGTGCTGTGAATTTATGGTCATATACATTAATCAGGGTCAGGAAAATGTTAAACCTTTCTTTGCTGTATTTTATTATAGAAATAGCATATAATTCTTTGTACCCTCACTGCCGTCAAATTGAATCCAACTCGTAGCGACCCTTCCTTGGGTTTCTGAAGGGGTATCACTATAGAGGTAGATTGCCCAAACTTTCTTCCGAGGAGTGGCTGGTGGGTTTCAACCACCAGACTTCTGGTTAGCAGTCAAATGCCTTAGGCACTATGCCATCAGAGCTCCCATAATTCTTTGTAAGAAATATATATTAAATAAGATGTCTTTAGACAGAGATACACACAAAACAAGGTATGTGTTGATCAGTTGAAAATATTGTGACCAGAAGCTCACAGGAGCCTAACCCTGTATTTCTCCTGGAGCAATGGCTCAGTACTTTCTAATTCAGTGTTCATAGTGACTCTTTAAAATAGAACCACTGTGAATAATGACCATCTACTATATATAAAGGAGCTCTGGTAGCATAGTGGCTAAGGCACTTGACTGCTAACCAGAAGGCTGGTGGTTCAAATCCACCAGCCACTCTTCGGAAGGAAAATGGGGCAATCTATTTCTGTAGTGATACTGCCTCGGAAACCCAAGGAGGGGTTGCTATGAGTCGGGTTCGACTCGACGGCACATAACAACAACACAACAACTATATATAAAATACAAAGTTACCCAAAACAGTCCCCAATTTTCCTCTTGAGTTGCTATACCAACTTGCACTCTGCCCAGACTCTCCCACTCAATTTTGCCAATAACTCACATTTTCCAGACTCACCTGAACTTTCTCACCGGCAGGTGCAAAAGAACATGCAGGTGATCGTGGAGGACAGAAATGACAATGCCCCTGTCTTCCAGAACATCATTTTCTCCATCAGTATCAGTGAGGTAACATATGTGTTAAAGGTGGGTGTGTGTGGAGGGGCATCCCAGAAGCAATTCTCAGAGTGAGAAGTACAAGAGACAGCCCTCAGGGGATCCTGGATCAGAAAAAACACCTTCTAAGAAGGGATAGCTGCAGGAACCAAATCCAGGGAGAGGTGCCTAACAACAGTTTTTACAACGGTATTTGATGATCAATCAGACTGGATTGGAATTCTTTCAGTTATGAAAGAAATAAAAGAATTTATATTCTCATATATTGGAAAAAAATAGAGCTATTCTAAAATTAGAGACTTCGGCATGGCTGGACCCAGGTGCTCAAACCACATCATCAAGAAGAGGTTTCTCTCCACCTCTCAGCTTTGCTTCTTGCATTGCATCTAAACTCAGAGTGGATAAGGGGAAGTTCTCCCACATGGTGTTTAAACGTTCCCCAGAGGGTCTGGATTTATATCTCATCAGCTGTACTACTTCAAAAGAGAGAGACTGTCTCTTGGCTCAGTGGTTCAGCCTCAGGGCTAACTCTCAATGGTCCATTTTGGGTCACAGGCCCATCGTTGGACCAATAAGAGGGTATGGAATGCTCTGATTGCCTAAGTCCACATCACAGGTCTTCCCCTATAGGAAGGAGGGGCAGACCCATTTGACTTTCATGGAGGGAGTAGGAAAGGTTCCCCAAAGATTGCTACACAGCAAGCACAACATACCACTCTTGAATTGTCATTGCTGGGGAGGACTTGCAAGGTGTGGAGCCTCACACTAGGCCAAAGATGAGGTTGGCAAGCTTCAGTCATTCCACAGATTCTGATGTAACATCTAACCAGGCACTGTCCTAGGTGCTGTGACTATATGGAGAACAAGACAGACCTGGCTACTACCTTCAGTAGCTCATGTTCTAATGAAGAGCAGATAATAATAAAACATAGAATAAACAGGATTGTTTCAGATGGTGTTGAATTCTATGAAGAACATAAAATGAAGTAAAAGGAAGTTACTGGAGTGGGGGCTACTTTAGGTTGCATGGTCGGGAAAGGCTTATCTGAGCAGAGACCTGAATAGCAAGAAGGGACCAGCCATGGGAAGCTCCAGGGAAAGATGTTCTGGGCAGGGAAATGGCAAGTGCAAAGGTCCTAAGATGGGAATGAGCTTGGGGTATTCTAGGCATAGCACAGAGATCAGTGTGGCTGGATGGTACAGAGTACAGAGAAGGTGAGTTCAGAGAGGTGGACAGAGGCTTGATGTCAGAGAGGCCTTGGAAGCAATATGAGTCATATTCCAGGAATAATGAAAAACTAATGGAAGATGTTAAGCATAAGAGTGATACAATCTACAGGGAGACAGCTCAGGGGGCAGGAGTGTATGGGAGGGAAGGACACAGGGAAGAGGTGGCTATAGGGAGGAAGTGGGAAGAGAGTTGTTGCACTGTGGGAAATTGCAGTCAATGACATGAGTAAAGTATATGTGAACTGCTGTATGGAAAGTGAATTTGCTCTGTAAATCTTCACCCAAATCAAAATAAAAAAATAAAAAATAAAAAAAAAAAAAGAGTGATGTGATCTGATTAAAGATTTTTAAAAATCTCTCTGGACATGGAGTGGGAGTAGTGAGTAGTGAGGTTACTGCAGGAGTCATAGGGCCAGGTTCTAGGGGCAAAGGTCTCCCTAGAAAACCTTCCAGCTCCGCAGGGTGCTGTTCTAAACCAAATGTCATTGGTGATAGAGAGACAAGAAGAGTGTTTGAACAGGGAAGTGCCACAGTCAGGCTAGGTTTGGTTGGAATTATCTCTTATCTGGGTCCTGAGGGGCTTGCAACACAGAAGCCAGGTCAGGTGGGTGGTGAGACTGTGTAGGGAGAGAAGATGGAATCCTGCTCCCCTCACAGCTGCCTCCAGAGGCCTCATCCAAGCAGGGGGGAAAGGGGTCACCTGTGCTTCTGATGCTATAAGGTGCTATTACTACCACTGTGGTACAGCTGAAGAAACAGGCTCTGGGCAGGGGAGTGATATAGTAGGGAATTGAGATGGATTTGGATTCACTAGTGACAAGTCCCTTCTTTCAGACACTGCCGGTCGGCTCTGTGGTGACCACTGTGCTAGCTGAAGACAAAGACATTGGATCTGGGGGCTTGGTGGTATACTTCATAGAGAAGGTGAGTGTGGAAATGTGAGAGAGAAGGTATTGGGGAGTGAGAGTGGGTAAGGGGGTGAACTGACTGCTCCTAGTGGCCACCAGGGGGCAGCATCTCCCCAGGCAGATACATGGCCCTTGAGAGTTGGGGTGAGAATAGCAGCTCTATGGTGGCCCAGCCCTTGTCCCAAAGCCTTTTTTTGACCCCATCTTAGTCTCACTTTCCTAAGGAGGTTGCCCTCTGAACCAGACTCTTCTTGCCTGAGCACTGTCTAGCATCACACCACCAAGTAGCAGAAACACTTCAGCTTCACAAAAGAGGAAATTGAAGCTCAGAGAGGTTCAGGGTCTTGGCCAAAGTCACACAGACAATAAGGGATGTATGAACCCAGTTCTCATGATGACAAATTTGCTAGTTATAGCTCTCATTTCTTGAACACCAACTATCACATGTACATGCCTGGTATGTATGTTGTCTCAGTGAATACTCCTTTCAACTAATTGAGGTAATATCCTGAGCCTAACTTCCCAGAGGCTCAGAGAGGTTGTACATGACTTGGTTAAGGTCATACAGCTGGTCAGTGACAGCAGGGATTCAAATTATGGTCTTGCAGAGCTGGAGTTCTCAGAGGCAGGCAGGCCCATGGGAGCCTGACTTGAATATCCTCTGCCCCAGGTCATACCTGACACTCCAGACAACCAGGACCTCTTCTCAATGTTGGTCAATGGCTCCATTGTGCTCAATGGCAGCCTTAGCTACAACAACAAGAGTGCCTTCTATCAGCTGGAGCTGAAGGCTTGTGTGAGTAGGGTGGTTGCAGGAGGGATTGGAGGGGCATCAGGACCTGTGGCCCTGAGTAACAGAAGGCTATGTCTTCCCTCAGGACTCAGGTGGCATATACAAGGACAATTTCACCATTCAGTGCTCCCCATCTGTCTTCTTGTCCATCTCAGTGATTGACCAGCCAGACCTGGATCCCCAGTTTGTCAGGGAGTTTTACTTGGTCTCTGTGTCTGAGAATGAACCCAAAGTATGCAAGGGGACTTGGAGGGATCTGGACTGGGATGGTGGGATGCAGGAGAAAGGGTCTGGGTCCTGACCATGCCTCCTTCCAGGGAACCTCTGTGCTGAAGGTGGAAGCTGTAGACAGAGACAAAGGTGTCAGTGATGCTGTGACCTACAGCATCTCCAGTAAGAATGGGGTGCTGGGGCAAGGGACAGGGTGGGAGCTCTGTCAGAGCCACTGGAGACAGCTGCTTTGCCTGCCTCCTCACCAGACTCCACAAGGCCTGGCTGGTTTGACATTGAGGCAGATGGGGTCATCATAGTCAATGGTTTCCTAGACCGTGAACAGCTACTGGAGGAGGATGAGGAGGTGCAGGTGCAGGTCACGGTAAGTAAGGGCTCCACAGCCCCAGCTGGACCACTTCTTCCTAACTTCTGATTTTTGACCTCAGCTCTCCATAAACACTGGTTCTTTCTGCCCTCTGCCCTCAGGCTACTGAGAAAAACCTTAACATCTATGGGCAGGAAGCCAAAGTGAACATATGGGTCACACTGAGGGTGACAGACGTCAATGATCACAAACCTGAGTTTTACAACTGCACCCTCCCGGACTGCACCTTCACACCCCAAGAAGCCCAAATCAACTTCACTGGCTCCGTGTATGAACATGCCTCAGCCCGCATTCCCATTGACAACCTCACTCTGGTGGCCTACGACCCAGACAAGGCAGGCATGGGAAGGTGTGGGTGGGGAATGACAGTGGGCAGTGGCTGGAGTGGGATGGAATGGAGATGGCTGAGGAGTGGAAGGTGGTTGATAGAGAACACTAGAGTGTGACACAAGAAGGGAGCATGGGGTATGTAAAGATATCTGAGGTGGATACAGAATGATGATGGTGCAGATTAGTGACCAGAGGTAGAAAATGAGAGTTGTTGGGTGACCATAGAAATATGGGTGATGTGGAGTTGGTGGGCAGTATTATGTGTGGGATAATACAAGTTGATGTTGAATAGAGGAAGTATGAAGCAGAGATTGGGATTGGACAGCGGCTAATGTTGAGTGAAATATAATTTTTACCAGCAGAGGATGGTAATGACTGGTTGGTGAGGATGAGTAGTGTTAGTTGGTCAGTGATTTGGGGTAATATTGAACATTGGGGATGTTGTGCAGTGTTGTGTACAGTGTGGTTTGAGTGAACATTAAGTTGGAGGGTACTCTTAAATGGAGGTTGATATTGAATGGTGGGTAATTTGGGTTGTATTGAATGATAAATAACTATGGATAGTGCTTGGTATTATTAGATGATATTGAGTTAATACAAAATATTGTGGAAGATGATATCAAGGTTGGTGGGTGGTGTTGAGTTGGAGATTGGGATGAGTGGAGGGTGACATTGAGATCACGATTAGTGTTGAGTGTAGGGTAGTGTTGGGTGGTGTTGAGTTGGTAGTTGGTGTTGAGTGGAGGGTAGTATTGGGTGTTGGAAGATTGGAAGGTATTGTTGAGTTGGTGATGGTCATCTGAGGTGCCTCTGGGTGGGTTCAAACTGCCAACATTTTGGCTAGTAGTCAAGTACATAACTGTTTGTGCCACTCAGGGACTCCTAGAAAATGTTGACTGGAGAATGTTGTATATATTTTCACCACAATTAAAAAAAAAAAAAACACCCCAACCCATCAGCTTCTTCACAACCTTCAAAAAGCTGTGGAGCACTTCTACTCTGCACACATGCGGTGGCCATGAATTGGAATAGACTCGGTGGCAGCTAACAACACAACATATTTCAGTGACATTGATTACATTCTTCATGTAGTGCAACCATTCTTGCTATCCTTTTCCAAATCATGCTACCACTATTAACATAAATTCAATGCTCTCTAAGCAAAAACTCATTTTCCTCACTCTCTTCTCCTCCTGGTACCACTCATAATCTTTGGTTTCAATATATTTGCCTATTTCATATGAGTGAGATCATATAATATTTGCCCTTTTGCAACTTATTTCACTCAGCATAATGTTTTCAAAGTTAATTCATACTGTGGCATGTGTTGAAACTTCATTTCTCTTTATGGCTAAGGACTATTCCATTGTATGTATATACCACATTTTGTTTATCCATTCATCTGTTGATGGACATTTTAGCTGTTTGTACCTTTTCCCTTGTTCCATTCAAACGATAGCCTCCTGGTCAAGGTACAGGTTCCTTATGAATATAATCAAGTCTTC